TAGTAAACTGGACAATTAGGGTGCGGACAAAAATTTCAAACATATCATTTTTTAATCTTGCCCTACGCGCATTTGAGCAGTCTCATAAGATGACTTCATCTCCCAATCAAACAAATACAGAGTCAACACTCGTCGTAAGTATATGTTTTGGGAATTCTGGAATAGAATCAAGCTTACTTGACAATGTTATAATTAACACGACTGCTTTGAGGGATACAAATGGCAAGTGGATAGGATATTACCTAATGAGATTCGCCAAATCCTTTACTTGCATGACCGCTTGGCAAAGCACTTAAAATACAAAAGGTTGGACTTTATTTTCCTATTGTAAACCTGTTTCATTCTCGTAGAGTGAGATAATAACCAACAACTGAGTCCTGTGGCTGAATTTTGGTGTAGAATTAACCAAGATTGTATGACCTTGTTCAGGCTCAACAAGAGTGAAGCTTATTTTTTAGAGTTAGGTATATGAAGTAATTTCTACCAGGTTAGATGATGTGTTACATCGTTTTCAGGCTTGTTTATCTGACTGGAATTTTGAGTACATTTTCCCCAACGAGTTTTAAGCAGTTTGATTTTTCCGGCTGTATTGTCCAGAAGAGATGCATATTGAATTGAGCATGAGGAAAAAGGGCATCCCTTTAGAAATGTGGAAATTCGGTGACTCTAATAGGAAGTTGAAACGCTTCGTACGAGCCATACCATTTGGCAGTGATCTTTCACTCTGAGATTTCAGGAGGTGGTTCACTCTCTGTCTTTTGATTAATCATTCAAAAGATTAGTTGAAATTTTTGAGAAAAACTCCTTGTTTGTTGTGGTACTTGTTACTGACTTCTTGATTCCACATGTTTGATGCTGTAGATAGCTTGAGGGTCTTAAACGCCGGTAAGTTTGAAAATGGTTTTATTTAAATTATCATGTTCATTCATTGAAATACTGGATCAGTATAAACATGAGTCCAACAAAAGTATCGCGACTTAAGATGTGGTACAGGGTAGAAGGATTTTGTGACTATTTAGTGCAGCTATGCCCACATTCCATCAACCTTCCGTCATGTTGAGTCCCAGATATACTCAACCAAATACAGAATGTGAACAGTCAACTTGGCGTTCCACCCCGTTAAGCTAGCTGGTTTTACCGTTTCGGAAAAGAGTATACCACAAGGCGTATATTAGCTGCACACATGTCTACAGTGTATATCTGAACTGCTCGCATTTTCTTGCAACACTTTTACAGTACGGGACCTGTTGTACCAAGGTGCGTATTTTGTCCTGACTGATGTTACAACAAATACTTTCTTGAAAAAGGGTCGATTCTCGTATGCTTTTGATCAATCAAAACCAAATATTATTGTAGAACCATTAGAGGTTACCACTTTTCAGGACCAAGCATCTATTTGTTAAGCGAAGAAATGCTTTGCTCCCCATGCTTCCATTGGCATACAGCCCCAACCGCTGCCATTCTAACGCCGTTCTAACTTCGTATATGACTAAGTGGTGCAGAGTAGTAATTCATGGTAGTTTACAAACGTTTGAAAACTCGCCTCCAAAATGGGTCACAATCACTTATGTGTAGGTTTGATTTTACAATATAACGGCAAGACTTAGTGAAGCCCTCCGACCTTACTTCCATTTACATCATACCCCTGGACAAGTCATCTAAGCAAACCTTACGGTAAATCACATATGTTCGCCAGTTGGCTTCAGCCAATCTGTTCTGCCCAAATGTTCTTCATACTGTATGATTCCGGAGGAATCCATAGTATGGCGTGTCGGTCTAACCGAGGCTTTTTAGGAATCAGTCGACTCCGCTCATTTGTTAAGTCAACTAACAACAAGTAGCAGGTGATGCGTAAAAGTTGAATTTTTAAAAATATGCGTGGGAGGATTTTCAAGAGGAATAAGGAGGTAGGTAGAATACGTATTTTTTGCGCCTGATAAGGAATTGTAAGAGTTCACTGGTGGGAAGTACTAAACGAGAAAACACGACGTCTGATTCTTTATTTTATTCTTCGTCACTTAGTGTCCAGCAGTGCATATAGTGAGTTTTTCTTCACTGTACATCGTTTAAGTCGGTAACAACGTACTGCTATTCTTTACCATGTCAAAGTGCGCAAGAATCTTTTCGTTTATATCTAAGTAGACAGCAAACCCATGGGCTCATTTTGACCAAGCTTTAATTATTTCACGCAATCTTTATTGGTAAATTACTTGAGTCAGCACTATTCCTCAAATGTTTAGGTTTGTTGGCCCAAATGTCTTTGTGGAACTATTTTATTGTACAGAATCCCTCGGTTTCATTAACTCACCAAGGTTCAGTTTCACTGTGAGACGGACTGGAACATCAGTAAACGAAAAAAAACAATATTGCGCCTGTGAAATTTACATATATTGTAACTTGGGGAAAAATGCAGCGCATAACAACTCACCTGAGCTTAATAGTAATGCGTTCTTAGAATATTCTTTTCATTCCAACCATATTTATAAGGAATGCACACTCCCCGTCATACAATTATTATGATTCTGAGCTTTTTCGTCACCAGTAAACAAACATGACCGCCTATTTTCAAGCACAATTTCACTCAGCGTTGAAAAGTTATGACTGTTTAAGCATACATCGACTGCATCGATGAGCTTGGTCATTTTTGCAAAGGGTTCCAACTAACTTTCTCTCTTCAAATAGTCAGAATGATGAAGATTTTAATCTTCTCTTTGAGTAGCTGAGTTAACTTGGAATTTGTTTACATAGAATCTAATCAAAACTCACTTCGAGGGATAAAATATCCAGGGAACTAGGTCAAAGGTGACCCTGTGAATATCAGAACACCATAGGTTTTAAAAAAATGTTATTTCTGAATAAATGTCTGTAACGTCAAGCCTTATTTAGTAATGATTTCAGCGTACTATTTGACAAACTTTATTCTTGAAATACTGCTGACTGCAAGGGGAGCTAAACTATAACGGTGCCCCGTTTATCGGTACCTTAATTAGTTTAGATTTAGCGATAATATCATGGTGATCATTACACAAACTCCACTGCTTGTTGAAAGATGTACAACGGCTGCCAAAAATCATGAAGATTGTTTGAATGACCCTCCATGATTTGGATTTGCACTCCACGTGACTAGTTTGCTAAATGCCGCCTACTAATGTTTCATTACGGAAAATGCGTACTTTTTATTGCAGTCCTTGTAGAATTTCGCAATTGCAGTAGAACAGGAAACCATAACAGAAAGTGCAGCAGATAAATAATGTACAAGAACAAGTGACGTCACATGCAAAGACATGAAAGACAAGTTGTTTCGATAGAAACATAGGATGAGAAATGACCAAACAAGTTAATTTCAATGTCTCAAAAAAAATTTGTAGAAACTTAAGAGTATATAGAGTAGGTTAATGTATTCAAGTCCTGGTCTTTGGAGTAAACAAAAACGAGAGAACTTTTTGTGCCTTGCGAAGTTACTAGCCTCCAAAAATTATGGACTACTGGGTCTTACCAAAGCTGGCGAAAAAGTAGTTTTTATGAAGTCTAGTGTAGTCACCAATTCCATACGGATGGCATTCAGGAAGACAATTTTTTTCGACCGCGTAGAGTCGTCTACTCAAGAGTGACATTAGACCCTAGGCAAAAATAAACGCAATAAAAATGTGGCGCCAACCCATTCCGTCGGATCGCAGCCGATGTTCGTACATGGAACTTAAGAATGAAAATTCAAGAAATTTCACGATTCTAGTAAACAATGCTATGCAGGAAGAGTGACCAATATTTGGACAAATTTTTGAGGAGTAACCCTCTGGCAAGGAAAAAAGTTTCTGGGCGCGATACTGATGCTGAAAGGACACGATCCTGCGACGTTTCAAGTATGGTAATGACGCAGCTACTCCAGGCGGATGCATCAGAACGCAAAAACAAGAAGACCTTTAGTCTTATTGGTGGCAAGATTGCAGGAGTTACGAAAGTCAAGTATTTGGAATGTACTTAGAAAAGGGTTCATCTGATTGTGCTTACCTAATCAATCCCCCCGCCACTGTATTTATAGAGGGGCAATTAAGCATATAGCTCAAATGTGCAGTATCAAAACCGTAGAAAACCCTCTGAAAGGAAGATGAAACATCATTTCGCGTGCACACTTTTTTAGGATAAACAGCCAATGGCAGTGGGCGGAACAAAATCAAAATGTGTAGTGCAACATTGATTCATGCTCAGAAGGTGGAGTTATTTTTACATGTAACCAGGCGATGTTGCAAGGGATCTAATGTGTCTGAATTACTGATGACTGATCGGTCAGAAAGTAATCAAGGGTCGTCTAGGTCATACCCTTAGGGCCTTGGATGTAACTGAGAATGAAATGCTTTTGCTTCCGATGGGCTTTCCTTTCCACCCGTTATGCCCAACCCCGTTGACCAAACCAAACACGTGTTATAGGAATGGTGCAAATTTGTTTTTCTGCTGTGCTAAACAGCGAAAAAGAAACCGTTGAACCATTTGTAAACAACGTCGATTGATATCTTGCCACCGTGTAGAATGAGAAAGTGATATAGTGATCAATTTTGCCTTAGTATAACGTTCGACTGTTTCTACGAAAACCCCAATGAAAGAAGCAAGTAGAGTGCAAAGTGCGGGTGATGTTGAAAAGCTTGTGAAGTGACAAACAGAAGTCTTTGCATGTACCAATGCTTGACCGCTTTTTCGCAAACGTGTAGTTAGTTTTAAATATTTTCAAACATCAGATTAGGGGTGCTGTTAACATCAGCAGCATTTTCTACGAAGAGGCAAATCCATCTTGGGCGAAAATAGAATCTCTACACGAAGGCAGTGGTTAGTCGACTTTCATAAGAAACGGAAAGCTTGCTGCTTCAGGAGATCGTCCCAGTAGACTTTAGTTGGTTAGACCTAAAACTTTGCGGGGACATGGTTTTAATTTTTGGAATGAGCCACGGACGCATTATGGATAAGTGTGAGCCGAATGATGCTTGCGAAATCTCCAATAATCTCCCTCATTTTCTTCGCTATATTGGATTCGAATGCCATGATACTCTTTTCAGTTCCATTCTGATCAGATGGCCAAAACGTCCTTATCCGGCCTTGATTAAAACTGACAGGTGCCTCGTAGGTTCTTAACCGTACAATAGTACAGCTCATTACTGGATGTGCTGGGGTGATAAACATCTGAAATATCTTCGGGAAGCAAGGGATATCCAACCACATTCATTGAGGCTAGACAAAACGTATGACTGGATTTTCGTTACTGTTTGCAAATGGCATGGGAAATAGTTTCTCTTTGTTTCATTTGGTAAGAGCAAGCAACCTCCAAAAGCAATAGTTCAAACTGTTTCAATGGGGCTGATAATCACTGTACGCCCCAGTGTCACACTCACTTTTCTCATAAAAATAACAGCACTGTCAGACTAACATGTTTTGTTCATTGCTTTAGAAAAAAATATCCCTGGTAAGTAGAGGAAGGTGTTCCAGTATAAGGTATTATGGTATTTGGAAACGTAAAGGCAGAGTGTGAAATGCCGTCACTCTGTGCAAATATGAGTGTGCCGTTCTTTTATGTTACTCTTGGGGAAATTAAATCAGACAACAAATAAATTGCAGCATACCGCGTTGTCTGAATGTAATCCAGACGGCTCAGTCAATCCGTCCTGCTGCCATAATTCTTAAGTGGCGGTTGGACAGTATGCTCTTAGTGGTATTTGGTCAATTTACTGAGAAAGTTTATTCCGAAGCAGTAATTTAAAATTGAGGCAAGACATGGTAGTCTTGTCATATTGCACTTTAATGCATTTTGTAGCTTACCAGTAAGATCAACTTAGTTGAGGAACTTTAGTTGTGGTTTCGACACTGAATGTTCTATTTGATGTGTAAAACGACGAGTTTTGTTTATGTTAGGCGAATTTTAAAGCTTTTCCGCATTTTGGTTGTTATTGCACAGTCTATACGAAGCAAGAAGGCTTAAACCACAATTATTTAAACTAGTCAACTATCTGTTCCATAGCTGGTAGGGAAAGGCCACATTCCGCCTTTTGGGAAATCTGGAGCTCGTCGTGTGTTCCTGGTATTCTGTTTGCAACGAACAAGTCGGAGTGGGTACATAGATAGGTTATCTTTCGGTTGGCATCAAATAAGTTAATGTTTAATTTCGTTTGCAGTTTTATTTCACTCGAAAGTACAACTTAAATACTGATTTTGCTTTCTTGATTAGAGCCAGTTTATTACCTCGGTAAGTATACCTGTTGAGCACCCTATTAGAATAATGCGGTTATTGAATGAGTTGTAGTCAACACTGGATCACAAATGAGCCCCCAGTAAGGAATTCCAAGGTGTCGTCTTTATTTAAAAGTCCAAGTTTATTTTCCTATGGCTGTCAACTACTATGAATCGGGTCTTAGCCTAACCGAGAACTAGAATATTACGTGGGAGATGAAAGTAACCTGAGTTGACATCAAGCCCACATTGGTTGGCCAGGACTCTTTAAACTTTGCAACCTACTTGAACAAAGAAATCACTCAAATCCACCTTACTATTACCAGTAAAATAAGGAAAGCCTTACCGCTTAAAATCTATTTAGTAGCAGAACTAACTAAGCGGTTACAAGTCATCAGACAGGAAATTTAACATCTTATATGCACATGGTCACATGCATACTTTCAAACTTACCTGGATATTCATTCACTTTAAAGTAGTTTCAAAATTTCTCTAATAAACCCCGCCCTCCATCAGATGCGAAGGCAGAACTTGAACACCAAACCCACCATTTAACCGCAAATAAATACTTTAATCGCCCTTTCAAATGTAAAGTACCTACTTGCAATTCATCAGCTAGTTCTGTACAAAGGTAATAATTGTTCTTTTTTCGTTTATCCGACCAAACGTTTTATTCAATAAATATCTTTCTTATAAGTTAAACGATTCCTGCGACCAAACTGGGACAATAAAATAGCTTTCCACTTCCTAGTTAGCAGACCTTAACAACAAGAATCAGGTTGTTGTTAAAATATTTGGGTCACTTCCTTTAGCAGAGAGCACATTACGCTTACCTGAATACGGTTTTTAACAAACGCATTGACTCAGTCATGTGCCTAAAAATTGTGAAATATATGTTGGCAGTTCGCAGTGGTAATAATTTCTTTCTCTCTAACAAAACGTTTATTTTTTTAACTGCATTATTTTGAAGCTGCCGACGAGCGTCTTCGTAAGTTTGCTCTCACACAAACCATGCTATGATTCCGCAAGCTAACAGGCAACTAGCCAATTCCAAAATTCCACTAATTGTATAAAATTTGAACAGAACCGTTGTAGTTCATTTAAGTCATACAAAAAATTCATAGTAAAAGAGCTAAATCACGTGGACAAATGGACTTTTGTACAGAACTTGAAATTGTATGTTCATGAGCATGCATTCTAATAGTTGTCCATAAAAGCCCGATCATAATTCGGACAACATGGCTATAAAAGTCAAAATGGACATTAAATCCCTAAGGTACCTGCCTCTTTTAGTGCATTTCAACCCAACTCGTCTATAAATGCATTTGTTGTTTGAAAAGCGTTAAACACAAACATACGATATAGCTGTTATGGGATATTTTTTATGTTATTCTTTTGTGCAGAAAAATATCAGAGTGATCTGAAGTGTGAGTATATGATATTTGATGTAAATCTCTCTCTTATTTGTATATGAATTTGCCTACCACACAAAAATACTGTCGTGCACAACTTTAACGATTCGAAAACGTCTAAGGCAACAAGGCATAGATTCAACCACTGTCAGTCAAACGGTTTATCCGCTGAGCGCCCAATAATCTTATCAATACCTGATATACTTTGAGTTCAATGACACTTCCCCGACAACACAGTTTCAACGATTAAGCGCTGGCGCCAGTGCGAAACGGGCCTCATATGTGAGCCTAAAACTGCTTTACATAGAAGACCGCGTCGGAATTGGTATAATTTGAAAACAGAAAATGTTTGTCTAGTGAACTGTGATGACGGTCGCTGTGAATATAATCCCTGGTGGACAAAGTCCGAAAATATAATTCTTTAGGAAGTAAGCAGAGGAACCCATGGGCTTCACCATTCCTCCTGCGCCTTGCAACAAAAAAAACAGGAGCTATCCATTCAAGAGGCAAATTACATATGTTGTTTCACAACCACAGAGAAATTAACTTCGAGTTATAACCTGGAGTTTTTGTCGGCAGGTGACAATGGCTTTAAATCCCGAATGGCTTGATTAACGATGAACTCATAATTTGAATTCGGAGCCTTGAAGTGATTCACATAAAGCCAGCCAATTCTAAAACTTGCAGGCTTATGCTTGACGGATTTGTTGCAGTGACCCCTGATTAATGTGAGCAGAGATATCAACAGAACCTCATATCAAACCTCAACAAACCGTTAATAAACAAAACTAGGTTGAGTGGCTTGGGTTGAAAGTATTAGCATATCGGAACGTTCGTTGCAATAATAGGTTTGTTATTTAATAGATGGACTGTGCAAAAATCTCAAGAAACTTGAAGGTACTCTGGTTCTAGTGAATTTGGGTATCTTTGTAGAATGTGCCAAACGGTGCTATTGGTCTTCGCTTGAGCAACGTAACTGGCCAATGAATAGCCTGACACAATCATCATGATAAACGACAGCATAAAATCAATTTTCAAACCTAAGGCTTTGATGCCATTTAGTCAGCAAATGCAGCATGGAAATGTTGGTAGTTTTAAGTATTGTGCCTGTAAGTGGGTCGGGATATTGCCAGGACGATCAGATGTAAACAACAGGACGATTAGGGTCCTCAACTAAAGCCTTTCACTCGAACGTCAGATTGCAAGGCAGTGGTTTTGGTGGGAATGGCAAGTGTCATACTATTTTTAATGAAGATATCACTACGATTGTCTCAAACCCTAACATGGATAGCCCGACCTCTAACGACGGATCAAACCATTTATCCCAATTCGTTGGTTTTTGTATTGGACCGCTGCATCCGCGATCATCACGTCTCAGAGTCTAAACAGGAAAACCAGACTGGCACACTTGAGCAAAAGAACTTCTACTTTAACCCCGGTTTAGACAAACTCCGCCCTAAATGACTGAAAACAGTCACCTACAATTTTTATCATAGTATGAAATTTTTGTTTCCCCCTGGCATGGGTATACCAACCGAAATCAGGCAGAGAGATATTGGTACGGTAAGCGATTATGAACACCTGAAAGCTTTGAACCGCTGGGAGGGGAAACCATGCTTCAAGAATGCTAATTAAGACTAATATATATAAATAAGCAACAATAATCCCTAATAAAACATAAGCCTTGTAACGCTACCACAGTGATAGCAATTTTTATTGAAAAAGGTCAACTTTCTCTCCAACACCCTTTGACAGCAGTGACGCGCAGAAGGCCTCCGGAAATATATATATATATATTAGTGAAAATTTCCAAGTGGTAAACGGTAGTACACTGAGAATAATATGCCGTTCAGGCACGCACGTATCATACCGTCTTCTTAAACTTCTGTGGACGGGACCGTTATCTTCAAGAAATCCGAATAGCTTAGTGGAGTAAAAGCCGGACAGAAAGCTGATGGAAATTTGCGCTTCATGGTTCTTGTGACTATATATTTTCTCTTCTCCTTATTCGTCTGCAGTTGCCGTCCAAGAACGTAAGTGAAAATTCCATACCCCTACCGTAACTCTGTTGTTTGCTGCGGTTGTAACTTATCAGCAAATATTTTGCCATCAGTCTACGTGTAATTTTCCATGCGTCTTTATTGGACTCCCATCGCTATAAAATACCGGTGGATTAAAAACGCACCTGTTGTTAGACTTTACATAATATGGCAGGTGCACCAGTATCACTTCACCACAAATTTGATACCTCTGAGCTTGGAACTACAAAGCAACACTCATCATCAAGCCAAGATAGCTAGCTGGTACATATTGACGGTTTGAAGAGATGTTTCGGATAGTCTCGTTTTATTTCAAACGTCATTATCGCCAAAATTATTTAAGAGATCCTATGGATGCACTAGATTTTTGTGAGTCACTTCTGATGCCGGGTTTGTAATGACCAGTATGTACAGTGCTTCAAAATCATGGCTGTTCGGCTATCAACCACGCGCTGTATTGACCAACAAGCTACGCCCGTTCCGCGGGCAATCAATGCCAAGTCGGTCATCGGCCAGCCGACCGCGAATAATGCAAAATTTTAAAGCAGAATACAACTAAAGTAGTGAACTCAGGAGAGATGCTTTATAACATCCTTGTCAATGATTCTTGGAACACTTTGGATGGAATAAGTATAAACAAAGTAACGCACTGCCTCAAACAACAGTAAACTAACAATCACTAAGTTGTATATAAATGACCTAACTATAGTAAACTGTACAGATAGCAAAGGAACAAATAAATTGGAATCATAATTGAGGGGAAGTAAGGTGTAATTCTGATAATCATTTATTTTGGACGATGCATACGGCACAGCGTGCTAATGGAATACCTCAGGAAATGGGAGGAGCTTCCAGTAGTGAAGTCATCAGTTACATGTTAGTGATCTGGTTGTAACGTAATTAGATTGATTAACAGGAGATGACAAGCACTAACAGATGTCTGTTTTACAAGAATGATGATGATTACAAAAGTTAAATGCAATTGATAAAATTAAATACAGTGCAAGAAGGGAATAAGCCAAATAGTGACTTATCTTTTAAGGGGGACTGTTGAAAGATCCTGACTGCGGTTCCGGACGCGAGACATGTCTTCTCTGCAGTATAGCTTTTACACCGCTTCTGTAGTTGCCCGTGGGGACCTGTGTAGTTCCGCTAACTTCCTGTCCTGTGCGTTCGAGCATGTGTTTCGGCCGAGTTGCATGCCTATTTATTGTATGCAGTATGAAGACAGGGGTGTCCATTCGTGTTTAATAATTGCACGAACGTGAATACAACTTGACCTGTTATGGTGGCGCGTGACGCATGTAGTAGCCGCGTAAACATAAATAGATGGGAAATTTTAGCGTACGTGTTGTCCCCTAGGTGAACACAGGCATGTCGAGGTTGTCACCGAAGACGAAATCCTACCTAAGCGCTTACATTTTTTATAGTTATACAATAGCACCACTGATACGTTCCCCTGGATGGTTTGAATTGTATAACTCAACCAAGATAAACCTGCATTTTCAAACATGTCTCATGACTGTTTGAGCCAAGTTTCACGTCCAAAAATATCTAGCTTAGATGTTGTGCACAATGAATGAGACATTTTATCAATAAAAATATTCTTCAGCATGCCCTGTTTCGCTGCGCTACATACATTGGCACCTTACAAAAGTTCCACTCTAGAATCCGCTATCAAGGAATGAACTTCCAATGAATTATTATCGGTAGTCACATCACAAATGTAGCAACGAAAATACCATGTTTTATCCCTATATGCACGGCGAAACGGGCAGTTTTGTACAGGAAAGTTAAATACACAATAAATGATTTTCTGCTTGTCCGTTGCCAAGCAACGCATTCTCCGAAAACGCCTCAGGCGAGAGACAGTCTACCCTTTAAAAAATTTCGCTGCACACTTTACTTAGCGCACAATGTCTAAGGGTAGGACTGTGTGTATAAGCATATATATGCTTGATCGTTTTGCGCACACAACATTTGTTTCACTCTTCACTCTGTAGTTGATGGCGGTGTTAAGAATAAGCATGGCTGGTATTTAGGGTAAACCTCTTATTTGGGCTCATGGCGGAAGCAGCGAAAACAGTAGTCTTGCCCTCAGCAATGTCTGAGAAAAATTGCACATCTTGGAATTTACTCTGTCCGCCGCAGATAATAACGTGATCAACACTACAAAGAAATTGAGTCAGTAGCAATTTTGACCGAAAGTCACACCTATTAGAATATTCTGGGTATTTTACTTGAGTCCGCGGCCTATCCCAATGGTAAATTATGTAATTTTTTTCTTTTAGTCGACGATCACGAATCATATGGTAAGAAATTTGTCAAAACAGAGGGCTTTCGTTGTTCACCTGCCATGTACTATTTGTTGTAAATTGACCGACACCAATGCAAACGGACTATTGATTGTGCTTTGCGGAGCACATCCATTTTAGTCTGACTACTATTCACACGCCAACTCTCCTGAGCTCGGTAAACAGCCTTGGCTGATTAGTCTAATTTCGCCGTTTCAGATTATTTCAGTAACGCTGGGCTACTTTTAAGGAAGTGTAGTTTAATGGGTTACATGAACGATTCTCAAAGAGAAAGTTCCTTCAATAAACCTGTTTCTCACTGTGAATTATTTTGTTTCACGTAGATACAGAAATCTACGAGGTCCTTACATGGTATTTGGTAAAGATAAATTACAGCTTATTTATCTGATCAGAACCAAAATCGTTTGGGCAGTGGTGTCTGGTCAATTTGTCTCTTATTTTTAGGCAACAAGCCGGTTCTTATTCAAAACTACAGTTCCGACCTTTATTAGAAGTTTAGGGAGTAAACGTTTAGATGTATATATACATGTACGTGTACATATATATATATATATATATATTCGAGGGCTCACCCCCCACAATGACAATATCGATTTTGTTGGTGATGGCAGTTTCACTCCAATACCCAACAGACTAATAACCGAGGAGAAAAACTTTTCCCAGGCAATTAAAATACAATATTCAAAACCATCTAAATGAATGGTGATTAGATAAATTTGTCTTATTTTGCCGTTCATGATTTTTCTTGTGCTGTGTATCGGCGCATTGTTTCACTAATTCCTACATCTGACAGCTTCTTTCGTTGACATGCACACCATAAACTTCTCCCTTTTCATTTTTTGAAGATTACAAACTTCCGTTTCATTCTTATATGTTAATTTTTAACTGCTTTCTATTTTTTCCTTCAGTTTAATTTTCAAAATCTTGATCGATTTTTCGTATTTTAAGCATATGTTGGCCCATTTCATTGTTTTTCATCCTTAAACTTATTGTTTTTTTTCCTTGTTGCAATCCAACATTTGCCTCCCAGAAGAACTAGCTGACAAAATGAGGTTTACCGGTTAGATATAGGCTGACTAAAATAATAGCATTATTTGGATTTTCGCAAAATTATTTAGCTGGCTGATTAGTGTTATCAAGACGGTGTTGATAAAGTAAGCTCTTCTTAGAAAAAAGCTACCGGGTTCATCAACATGAAGCAAAAGAAAGTTCACTTTGGTTCTCTGAGTAAATCTGAGCTTTTTAATTCTAAAAAATGGTTTTTCTTAATTTGTTTTGATTTTTTGGTCTCTGTTCATATCTAAGTCGATGACAACGAATTCCGTGAGTTTACACTCCTGTTTTCAGATCAAATCAAATTGTACATGTTATCACGTAACTGAGTAAGATGTCCTATCAGCTTCCCCCTAAATTCAGTCGGCCTTGATGCGGATAGTAAAATCGTGCTAGCAACGACAATACAGAGATTGAAGCAGCGTTATTATAGACTTATGAATAGCGTGCCGACTCTGACATATTGTACCTCAAACGTTCAGGATACTCAACCTCACAATTGAGGTTCATTTGCTTATTCGAAGTGCACGCTTATCGAACAATGCAAGAAGTTGAATATCGCCAGACGACTATTCATTTGCTTAAATTAGCGATTTTCTAAGTGGGGAGTGAAAATGATAAAATCTGGAAGCCATACTTAGCAGCTGGCTCTGTCGATGAGATTTCCGTGATGGTATTAGTTTCTTATATGAAAAACACAGGCAAGCTCAAAGAATAACATTTTTAATAGGTTAGTCGAGCACCAACTGAGTGTGAAGACAAACCGCATCGGGTCGATGAATCATAACAAAAGGCAAAAATTAGATAATTACTGAAGTATTTGCAGTTTGTAAATCGGTAAACGGAACCAAGTAAATGTATTTTGACGAAAAAACAAGTTGATAAGAATGAGAAGCACAACTGTTGGAAATTTGCGCTAAAGAGCATGGGTAAACGGACAATAAACCGTTCCTTGTAATTCATGGTAACGTTCCAGCCAGAATTAGCTGGGACAAACTTGCACAGAAGAACGTAGTTGATTTTCAGTAACCACCCGTACCGTACCTTCATATGTAATGACTGCGTAACCGGGTCCATTCCTCTTTTAACTACTCTAGTGGTGATTCAGAAAAGTAAGATTCTCTTTTTGTTGATTTTTGAGTAATGAATGTGTCTGAAATCTTAACCTGACTTCACTTTCAAATATTTTGATATTATCCTTTTGGCCGGATGTCAAACTATCCCTTTTAAGCATTGTTGCACGCACTCAACCGTGTAGAAACCTGTGACCATTTGTTCTACGGCTAAACGCAAATAAAATGCATTAATATATCTGAGTAAAGCAGGACTACCGATCTAGCCAGATAATAAATCTTTAAATGCTATGTTTACAACGCACACTACCTTTCCGCCTTATTAAATCCCCTGTTTTCTCAGTTTTCCGTGGTCCTAGCTATAAGGCTTAACATCATAAACGTGATCTTAGTTCTACCAAAATAACTCGCATTTTTTCCTTAGAAAAACCTTTTCTGGCTTACTCAAGACCTTCACAGTTAAATAAACGGTTGTAAATTTTGCTATTTATGCAGTCGGTATATTGGCTCTTGGTAAGTGCAAAATTTTCCCACTACTTGATGAGTTGAATATCGTAGGGAGGAATGTCCATCAGCAAACGGCGCTGTGTTAGATAAAGGTCCTGACATTACGATTGCACTTTTTCTTATGACAGACATCGCAGAACTGGAGCTCCGTATGTTTGTTTGTTTCACACGGAACATTTCTTGTACATGCAACGAAATTGAAGCAGCACAATTAGCATGTATGGCTCTGATAAAATGGGATATGCCTAACGAGCATTATTTACATCTGGTCATTGATTTAAAATGTTGTTTAGTTATTTATTGGCTTATTAAAAATGGCTTTTCCCCCTAACTCTGCCACTTGGCGTTTCCATCTAGCTAGAGTTCGGAACAGTCGCATGTTTAGCCTAACAGCGTCTTTCAAATACTTGTTTACATGTCCATCCAGCTTAGTGTTTTGAATTTGACTAAAATATCTTGGTGAACAGCGTAAATTTCCGTTCAAGAAGGTCACGAAATCAAAAGGGACATCAGCTGCACTCGCGATTGAATGGAGGCGGACACATACATTACCAAATTAAGCTCGACGTGAGGGAAGAATGCAACTAACCACAGGCTGTATGCCAATAGTAATTGTCTACATTTTACAGACGGAGCGTTTGGCTTCTGAAAAATATATAAATCAAAGTTAGACTTCATTTTGTCTTTAGCCAACGATATTTTGCGGGAGTCTCGGATAGTGAGCAAGATCGATTCGAGCAACAGGATGTCTAATTCCCGGGAAATATTGATGAATTAAAAAACAAGATGTGGATAGAAGTCTAATTAGCGCCTTACTCGCACATGTTCCGTTGTAACATGTTTGTTCAAAACGTATCTCAAATTAGTAGGGAAGCTGCAGTATCCTTTTAAAAATATTGTTAGCGAAAGGAAAAACACTAGTTTATGGCATCATTTACAGGCGTTTCCTCTAGAGGGTTAAAGAAGCATCTCATCCGAATTGGAAATTCTTCAACGCTACTATTTCCGTGATCTTAACTCTTACTCAGACGAGAGGACCTCATACAATGAACGAATCCTACTTTTGGCAAGGATTTCCAGGCCATTGCTGTCAAAGAAATGTGGTTATTTTGATATGATAATTTTCTTTGAAAACGGTTTCCTCCAACAACGCGGCTGATTCTCTGTAGAGGAAAATGAAAAGAAGAATTCATCTTTTCCATATGTTAGCTCAAGCCCAAATAACATACGTGGAGATTTTTTCACAGAATTTTATGTAATACAAGAAGCGAGCAACAGCAAACGTACAAGAAAAAACTTGGAGAAACTTTAGGGGGTCGTTTTTCCGACTCATCAGAAAGGTGGCACGTGAACATTCATGTAACTGCATCGTGGCCCTTGATATTCCAAAACTGTTGGTGTATTCCTAGTGTACTCCTAGTTCCTACGGTTGTAAAAATGATTTTTTATTCCACCTAGATTGTAACTGTTTTTCTACCTCTGACTCTCTTGTTTCCTTCTAATAAATAAAACCAACTGACTGATAATGTCTTTTTCTTGTTTTGCAGATACATTCACAGGTACATCTGCTTCCTGATTTCAAATATTTTAAAGTAATTCCAAAACCCCATGTGGACTCTAGAACTTGGTTCCTGTAAAGCAACCGATTAGAACCATCGGTATCTTTTTCTAAAGCTGCTGTGAAGCTATTTACTGTTTATTTTTTTGTTTATCCACTTAGTTTTTGACCATAGTATGTGTCAAACCAAAGCAATATGGATGCCATTCTAAGACACTAGCTTTACTTCGTAAGAGGGAAGTGTCTCGAAGTGCTTGTCAAGATAACCGTTTACAACCTTGTCAACAATGAAAACTAAACAGAATATCATCATTGTAAAAACATCAGTCTAGAAGAACACTTTTGTGATTTCCTTCGCCAACGAATGTACTATGTTTGTCGTGTCATCGAATAGCGCCATCGAATAGCGCTAGCAACAGTGCCACACTCTTTTGCGTGCACATGAGTATGTAGGCCCAATCCGTCACAAATGCAGAGGAACCATGTTCCGTCTCGCTGTTTCTTTCTCATTCGCTGCCCTTCAGCCCATGACGCCGGCTCTGCACTACCCATGCATCATTGTCGGAACGTTATGTAGCTTGACTTGGTTAATCGGCGGTCGGTCTTCATCTTAAGGTTATGGGACAGTTGGGGCATATACGTAACCCACTAGACGAACCTATCAAAAACCCTACTCTCTTAATTTCAAGGTGAAGGCGGGGATGCAGAAGGTGAGTACTTCGGTCGTAACTAATTTCCGTCCAATGAAATACACATCCCTCAAATTTGCCAGCTGCAAGCAAACCAAAGAGATATATAAATGCAGAAACACCGGAAACATCCTACTTGCACAGCTAAACAACCTCTCAGAAAAATTTAGGAATATTTGTGAGGGGTAACATGAGTAAAGAAGTTAGGAGTGATATTTTACGTGAATGAGTTTGTGCAACCATGTGTTCCCATATTTAGACAATCAATGAGATCACTATAAACTCGAGGGAATATCCCTTCTGAATAAGCACTTTGTGCTCCACAAAATTTGCAAATCTGTCTTGAGACCCCCTAGTCTGGAAGTAGTCATTTCAAGTGACTGAACAAACGCAGCACGTCTGATTCAGCACATCTGCTCAGCTGAACCGTCCGAAGGAGGCCAAGGTTTTCAAGCTGGCTGATCACAACTTTGTTATCATCAGTGATACTGGTGCAGCAAATTCTGTACTAATACGAACTCGTTGTTAACGATCGAGTTGTGATCCTGGTAATTCTGTTCTCTGATTAACCAAGGCCAAAATGGGAGTTTAATTAAAAACCACAAATTTTACTTTCCGCTGTAATGCTTTGCTAATTTTTCTCTTATTTTTTTACCAGATTTCAAGAGGCAGCTGAAAGTCCGTAAGTATGGCTGTGAATCATCTTCTGGAGTGAACACACTGAAATGTCACATATATCCACTACAACTACAATGTTGGATTTCCTATAATATTATATCACAATAAAACAGAGTAAAAACAAGACATCAGTAAACTGAACGCATTCACTTTAAGGCAAGCCGAAATTTTTTTACAGAATAAAATTGGTTAAAATACAATGCCAGTTATCGGGATCTTATGTTATAAATTCACTCAAATTTCGCCTCTTTTCTGCAAATATAATGCAAAATAGTCTGGATCAAACGTATCCATAAAATCGACCATCATTTACTTGTTATTTGCCATGTTTTTCCTATTGCAGAATACTCTGCCTATGTGTACGTAATGAGTCACTGGTCTTAATCCTCTCGCTATATTTACTTACTTGTCATTTTTGTTTTGCTCATACTTAACTTAGTTTGCGAAGCTATGGGGTAGTAGCTCTTCTCTCTGGACAGAGCCTTCTTGGTGCTAGCGATTCTGAAAAGAATACACTTGCTAGAATATTTAAAGTATCGACTGACTTAGAACCATGGGTTGACCAACTTTTGCCAGTTTCGCTTCTACGACATGCACTCATCCCCGAAAGTGTGATGTCGCGATTTCGAAAGGATGTTTGCAGATAACGCAAAAGTTTTATACAATTTGATGGTTAATCCGTCCGAATGTTTGTTCATATCCGCAGACCACGTACGAAGACAAGTACGAGGTACAAGTTGGAGGACACTCGCTGACGTCATCCAATGAGAGGGTTCTATGAATCTAGTCCGAGTTATCACTTTGACGAATTAGCTGTGCAGACGTCTCAATTTACAAGAGTGAAACATGTGTATCAGAGTCAACTGATAACATACCGAATGTGCTCAAAAGTATAGTTAAAGACCAGCAATGAAGAAAGCCACATCCTTTGGATACCAAAAGTTTAATTTGGCTAGACTTCACCTAGGGTTACCCATTTGAGTTTGCAGCTTTCACGAAGGAATGGCTCTGGATAAAAGATTACTCATATGGAATCAGATTCGTGATTCGGCGCACTAACAAAACATAATTCCCTAAAAGTGTTTTCTCCGAACCGCTGAGCGTTGGGGCTTTTTCAACCAGAGGTTCATACTGAGGAAGGTCTCAGTCTTGGTAATTAAGGCAACAACAAACAAAATGATTTTAACGGGGCTCTCAAAAGCGATGGTAACTGCGGCCACCTGTATTAAATTCCATTTGAAAAAGCCTTCAGATATTTGAAATAAACACTGCATGCGGGTAGATACGAGTGACTTAAGACTCAAAACAGATTCCCAGTTTTCTCCCGTCGGTAGTAGCCACCTTTCCAGTGGAACAAAATCTATTTACTTCGGGTGGTTAACTGTACACAGACATTGATCTACCAAATAGGCCTTCTGAGAGGATTAGATGCAAGATGCTCACTTACGTAGACTCAGCTCGACTAGGATTGAGTTACTGACTTCGTTTCAAAGGCAGACTCAGCTGGATCTCTCATTTTTTATATTTCTCAACTAAATGTGATGCATAAAGTGCGACTCATATTTCAATTAGAAAAATGGTTGAGATGTCGTGGTATATTCTCTCAAAGCAATTACTCATGAAGTTTTTAAAAGGTTTCCGAGAATCGCTTTGTGCAGCACATTCAGTTAAACAATAGGAAATCTAGGGTTTCAGCCAAAATGCACTTGAATCTTCCGTCAAAAACAATCTGGTGCGCGAATGAGTATTTTAAGTGCATTTTCTATAATTCGGATTTAAGTAGAAAATAAAGTTGACAGAAAATCGGAACGGTACCTGATGCGCCACAAGAAGGGCGAAACAACAGTGGCACACTTTTTTGCGTACTCATGAGTATGTAAGCCCAATCCGTCACAAATGTAGACGAACCATGTTCCGTCTCGCTGTTCCTTTCTCATTCGCTGCCCTTCATCCCATGACGCCGGCTCTGCATTACCCATGCATCATTGTCGGAACGTTATGGAGCTTGACTTGCTTAATCAATCG